GCCCCGTGCACGAAGCCTATAGCGGCGCAGCTATGGGAGCTGGCTGTCAGATAGGAGCCCCGGGAAGTCGTCCAACCCAGCCACGCCCTGATACGCTGCGGCAGCAGGCTGCCATGGGCGTCCATCCTGAGCCCGCCGGCGCCATAGTGACGACCGGGCAGCCGCCTCGTCCTCCTGGACGCCCACCTCATCGCCCTCGACACCTTGTAAATCTGCACGATCACGGGTTAGCCACCATCCACTGGCGACCGCTGCTTCGTCGACTACTGCCTGGATGCCGGCGGCAGAGGACGGGAGAAAAGAAAGAAAAGCCACACGCGCAGAGGGTCTAGAGATGGGAGAAAGTCACACGGTGAATGATTGGGCAGATTTCTATCTTGACTCCAGTAGAAAAACCATGCACCGGAAAGGATAGTTTCTTGATTAGGTGTCTAATCTTATAGAAACTAACATGGTTTCTTCCATTGTGAGTGCCCTGATGAAGCGCACTGCGTCGTTGACAGCAGTGCGTGACTATATAAACAAAAGAAGTGGCAACTATTTTTTTCCATAATGATAATGCACGGGTGTCTGTCTCCGGACCCGTGCCCCAACGCGGCCCTCCACACGCGCCCCCCCACACGTGGCTCCATCTTCCAAAAAAAGTGTACTCCTTATCCGCTCATCCCATGATCCCCGAGGCCGCGCTCCAACGACTTCGAGCACGAGCATTGCCGCACCGAGCGCCGAGGCCGAGCTGCCCAAGAGGCACCCCGTCGGCCGCTACCCCACGCCCCTGCCTAGGCCTGGCGCTCGTCACCGAGCCGGGCTGCGCGCCTGGCCACGTGGCCGCTCATCCGCCGGCCCCCCTTCCCCCACCGCTTGCCCGTCTCCCGTTGCGCCGTGCCTACCTCCACCGTGCCGTGTCTTTCCCACCACCGTGGAGACCCGAGCTTACTGGCTACCGTAATTCCCCACCAGGTAGGCCATGGTTGCCAACGATGCCGTTTTTCAAGTGTTTCAGGCGTTTTAAATTTATGTTTCAAACGTTTTATCTGAATATTTCAAAAGTAGATCTGGGATGCTGCATATATTGCAAAGACAATATATGCATGTTGCAAGCCTATGTTTCAAGTGTTTCAGCTGTTTCAGACATATGTTTTAAGTGTTCCATCTGGATGTTGCATATGTTGCTATGGCTCTACCCGCATGTTTCAAGCATATGTTTTGAGTGTTTCATATATTTCATACTTATGTTGCAGGTGTTTAATCTGGACGTTGCAAAAGTAGATATGGATGTTGCATATGTTGCTATGCCTAGACACGCATGTGTTTAAGCGTATGTTTCAAGTGTTTCATCTGTTTTAGACGTATGTTGCAAATGTTTCATCTGGATGTTTTAAAAGCAGATAGGGGTGTTTGCACGTCGAGGCCAGTGGCTGTCGTTGTTGCTGGGCACAGACGTGGGTCAAACCACATGGGTTTCCCATGCGGGGGCGCGGGGTGGGTGCGGAGGCGTGGGTCCCGCGACGGACGCGGGCGCTGGTGATGGGGTGGGATGCGGACGCAGCTGCGTCCGGACACGACGTCTTGTCTGGAGGCCCGGGCGTTAGGCCTTCCATTTTTTTAAGTGGTGTGGCAACTTGTTAGAAATAAATGTAACGCCACTAGATTTTTGTTTTTTTAATAATGATCAGTTGATCACAGATATTTCGTTGAAGCCATCCATTACAAAGCTCACTGCCTACGATGACCTCCAAGGACTCTGAGTTCAATTGTATCCAGTGGCGGATCTAGGAAAAATATATAGGAGGGGCTGAACAAAATAGCGCTAAACCGCTTTAAATCTACTATACTCCATTATAAGACAAATGTAATATAGTTTGCAATGGTTTTATATTGAAATGTCAATAAAAAATAAAATACATCATAAGAAAAGATAGGACGTAATTTTTTCCTACCCAATGGGCAAAGCCCCAAACCAATAGGTAACGCATGACGATGACATCCATTATTCGTTATGAGGAGGAACCTATACAAAAGACACAATAAGTTGCGTCCTTTGAGACACTATACTCTAACCAATTAAATTCATCAAACTGGGTTTTTTTGAAATGATCTCCATTCACCACTTTGCCATTAGTGAGGAAAGATAAGATTAACTAGAGGGGTTCGGCCACTCAAAGCATATGCTCTCTTTACATGATCTCTAGCTTTAGGTGCATAATCCTCAGTTGGTTGCGATTTCCCAGATCGCCAATAACATCCGAGTCACCAAACTCTGCCCCAGGTTTCTCTAGTTGGCTTGTGCCCTCATTAGTTGGTGAGGTTGGAGTACCACTAGTATTGCTTGAACTTGATAAATTAATATGTGTGCAAAATTCTTTTTGACATTATGAGTTTCTCAAAAATAACAATATCAACTTCTCAATTTGTCATCCAAACAATCAATCCTTAATCAAATATTTCATCAAATCACTAATACAATCTTTATCAATCACATTCACATTCACAAATTCACAATTTAGAAAATTTTAAAATTTAAAAGGGTATAACTAGTCGGGATGCCATCCTGCTGGCCGCTGCTGGCCTCTTGCCCCCCGCTAGCCCCTACCGGCTGCCGCTGCCACGCCCCTGGCCGGATGGCTGGCCGCTGGCCCTGGTCGCTGTCGTGGTCGTGCGGCCCTTGGGGGTCGCCGGGTTAGGGGCTCGAGGCGTCGAGCAGGACACCTCCAGCCGTTGTGTCGCCTCCAGCCACCACGATCGTGCCGCCTTGTTGGCTCCATGGCTCACTCTCACACGGTCATGCGCCTCCGGCTCCGCCTCCGCCTGAAACGCTCGTGAGCTCGCGGTCACACACACCTGCTCCGCCTCACTATCGGATAGGGATAGTGTTGGGAGTGGCCGAGCGGGGGACTCTAGGAGGGTCCACGCAAGTGTTGGGCCGGGAAAAAAGAAAAGATACAAGTTGGGCCAACCATTGGGCTTTATTTGATGAGAAGGTTGAGTAGGAATGAAGCGTGACTCACGTCGGGACGGACATCAGAGCCCCTCCACCACCGTGCATTTATAGTGAAAATTCATGGTGGGGCTTAGGGGGCTCCATGGACTCCGCAGCAGTAGGAGGGGGAGGGGGGGCTTAAGCCCCAGCCCCACCGCTAAGTCCGCCCCTGATCGTATGCCTGAATCTTCACACTGGTCCGACGACGACGTTGTCGTTGATGCCCCTGCTCTCTCACCACCAGCACGGCAGGACATTTCTCATGAAAATAATCACACACACCAATAGCACACGCCATTGATCGTTTAATAACAACTTGCAGCAAAAGCTAGTAGTGTGCAATACTAGTTGCAAAACAAACTATGTCTCATTTGGTAAGCTTTCCTTTTTTTTAATTCATTCATGTCTATACACACACACACACACACACACACACACACACACACACACACACACACACATATATATATATCTGAATAATCAGGTGAAGCATTGTACTCATAGGCTAAACATCACAAACATAATCCCTCCATCCAAAAAAAATATAAACATCATTTTTCGAGAAATCAATCATTCTCGAGTTTATCCAGAAATAGAGAAAATAATATCAACTTTTGTATCTACAAATAGATTCACTATAAAAATATATATTTCATAATTATCTAATAATATTTATTACGTATCATAAATATTAATATTTTTCTATACATTTAGTTAAATTTAGAATTGATTGACTACTCAAGAAATGATTACGTTTTTTTGACAGAGGGATCGGAGTATTACTAGTAGAAAGAAATTTCGGGCCCTAAACTGTTGCGGCGAGGTCCCACTTACTCCCACATGTGCAATTTTTGTTTCTGCAAGGCAATGTATGCAACCAAGATTAACCAAAATCAGTGTAACATGACATGAATGGAATCTGGACCCTGAGAAATTCAGATGCAATGTACCTACAAAACAAAACATACACACACAAATATTAGGGAGCGCAAAAATAATGATAGGTTTTTTAGACACGGCACTAAATAAAAATCAGTGACAGGTGACCCGTCACTGTTAATGCCATTAGTCAGCGTACAACAAAGTCCATGAATTATGAATTATACGGCCCCTTTGGTATAGTTTATTAGCTGGACTATTCTATTAGTGGAATAATTCTTTTCCTCGGTTTATAGGTTCAGAAGCTTCACTAGCTAAACCTATTTTATAATAAAATAATTTCTTATAGTAGATAAAAAGAATAAAATGACCATAATACCTTTCTTTTTTTCGTTTGTTTTTCCTACTCTCCTGTTTCTTCTCCTTCTCTCTCCATCTTATCAGCTTGGCCGCCTCCCTCCCATCTGCTCGGCCATTCCTCTCTCATCTGCCTCACCCACCACCCTAATAGTATACCCAAAGATAAATCCCTAACACTAAGCCTCAATGCCTTCAACACCAAGTCACACTTAAACACTACTGTGGCCCTAGCCTTCACAAGTATCCTTGCACCATACACCGATCCAATCATCGGGAGCCAAGAAAATAAAGTGGCCTTAGCGCCACTAACCCTTTGTTATAAACCCCCTACAAAACAAAGTTAACCACATGGCCTTGTATTCATCAACAACTGGAACCCTAACTAGGGGCCTCGATGAGTTCAGTAGGGTATGGATATATTTGTTCATTAGCGATTATGAGAAGGTAATCCCCGTAGCTATCCATTCATGAGTCCATCCCTTTCTCTATGCCTGATGAGAGACAACGCCAATAGCGGCAACGCTTTTGGTTGACATTGCAATCGCATCTCCAGCCATATCACCATTGCAGAAACTGGATCATACCTGCTTATTCTAACCATGCTTTTACTCTATTTGTACAACTACTCAAGGAATTACTTCTAAAAAAAACTCTACCGCCAATATGGTTCATGTCCCATGAGACGATAAAAGTAGATGGTCGGTGGCATAACTACCTCCGGGGATTACCAAGGGACCATGGTGGTCCACATAAGAGCAGGTCTGATCATACTATATGAAACATGTATAATGAGAGGAATCTAAGGATTTCCGAGGCCCAAGCTCAAGTAGTGCAGGTGGTGCAAGGCATCAAGGAGGAGATTGTAGAATGCAGTAAGGTTTGTTGCAGGCCGGCGGTGGGCTAAAATGTTATGCCACTATACTCAGACTTGGTTATTTACGAATGAAAGGAGCTTTCCATTCGGCACTTAAAACATCTTCATGAGATCTTGGTTACAATTCCAATCGATAGCGTGGTAATGGGGTTATCCCAATACTAATATTTTGATTATTGGAGGAGGTGTTGCAATGGATCCTCCATACACCCACCTCATTATACACTTAACATATGGGGACCATATGTCAATACACCCACCTCATTATACACCTGACATATGGGGACCATATGTCAATGGGACCGTTTCTTTTATATCTTTTTTATTTTTGTTCTCCTCTTTTTTCTCTCTTCTGCCATCCTCCACCATATCTAGGGCACCAACACTTATGCCTGATTGGTTTGGGTCCAAAATTTACCCTACCAAAACTAGGGCAAGCCAAAACTAGGACCGCCAAATTTTGGTTGCCAAAACTTTGGCAAGAATTTTGGTATATCACTTGATTGGGTGCCAAACTAGTACATCCAAAATTTTGGAGCTTGAATGGTTCGATGCCAAAATAGGAAGCACTTTTTCTCTTTTATGCAGCTTAAGAACTTTCTGAAGACTTGCCAAAACTTTGGCCATAAACGTTGGTGTGCCAATTCTTTGTCAATGAATTGATGACTAAAAATTTTGGCATGCCATGATTTTGGTTGGGCATGAATTGGTAGCCAACCAATTAGGCCATTACCCCTACTCTATTTCCCATGGCCTTCCACCTCCCATCTCTCCTCTCCCACCTCTGTTCAAGTAAGGGCATCTAATCCATCTAGCCAGTGGGGTGGCGGGTTAGGGTTGCTGGTGGTGAAGCGGGTCAACTCGGCATGCCAGGGTGGCCGAGAGGCATGTCGAGGCAGTAACTGCGTTTTGTACTGGTCTGGTCTGGAGTAGCTGGGCAGCGAACCGGCGACACTCAACCGTGCTTGCGCGACAATCCGATGGCTAGGTGGCGAAGCCAATATCTAGTGGCGGTTGTGTGCTACGAATCGATGATGTGGCGGCTAATGACACACTGGCAAGCACGACGCACGAGCAGCGAGTAGGCTGCACAAGTATTGCGGTGGGAGGCAAATACAAGCAAGCTGCGCCAGCAAGCACGAGAGGCGAAGGTGGGGGAGGCAGGAGTGACCGTTGGGGTAGACCCAGCCTATTGAGTGACCGTTGTTTTAGAGAAGGTAGGTCTAGCCAGGTATAATCTTTCTTTATTTAAGAAGAGGAGATAAGGAAAAGACTGTTGGTCAGGAGCTATTGGTCACCCTGGGCGCTTTTTCACCGAAAACCAAACACCGAACTGAAACGAACCGAATAGTCGGTAGTTCGGTTTTTCGGTTCGGTTTCGGTTTCTAGTTCTGTGAAGTTCGGTGTTCGGCTTCGGCTTCGGTTTCTATGCCATACCGAACCGAAGTACCGAGAAACTCTCGTAAGGTAGGCAGAGCAGAGAAACCGAGAAACTGCCCACCAGCCCACCACCGCTAGTCCACCACGGCACCCCGCACCCGTACCACTTCACTTCCCTGCATCGAATCGAGTTGCACCGCACATCCGCACTCAGAGCCTTGCACTCTCGCTCCTAACCCTAACCCTTCGGAGGCGTGGTAGGTGGCTGGCGGTGCACCCAGCAGGCCAGGGCGCCAGGCGGCCAGCAGCGGCGGCGCCACCGTCGACCATCGTCAAGCTCCTCAACCACGGCCGCAAGAACAGAGTAGTCCTCCAATGTAAGTCTTTAGTTCTTGTTCTTGCTTAATGCCTAATAGATCCAGATGCCTGTTGGTTGCTTTGTGACAATGCGAGTTGATTAGTTAGTTAGTTTGTACCCTGACTAAGTACCTAGATGGCTGGTTTTTGTTTTGATGTCTTGTAGATGGGGGACACTGAAGAAACAGTGGCGCATCTGAATGTTCAAGTGAATGAGAATGAAGTTGTAAATGGGGAGAATGACAAGCAGGATGAGCAGCAGCAGTCCAAGGATGGAGAGGAAGTGGGAGATGAGGAAAGCAAGAAAAGGAAGCCCATGGTTCCAAGATCAGATGTTTGGGAACACTTTAGCAAGATCAAACTTGATAATGGGGAGGAGAGAGCCAAGTGCAAGTACTACGGCAAGCAACTCCGCTGTGACACAAAGTTAAATGGTACGTCCTCCATGAAGGCTCATTTGAAAATCTGCAAGAAGAACCTCACAAACCTGTAGTAGATAATCAAGGTACTTTACAACTACAACCTAGCCCTAGCAATAGTAGTGTTGGTACTCTATCTACTTGAAAATTTGATCCTAAGGAGTTAAGGAGGAGTTTTGCTGAGATGATAATAGAAGATGAGCAACCTTTTGTGTTATCTGAACGTTCTGGCCTTAGAAAGTTTATGTCAAAAGCATGCCCACGTTTTGTTTTGCCATCTAGAAGAACAATCACTAGAGCCTGTGTGAAAGTGTTTGATGATGAGAGAGAAAAACTTAGGAAATTTTTGAAAGACAACTGTGAAAGAGTTAGCCTGACAACAGACACATGGACGGCTAAGAACAATCATAATTACATGTGTGTTACCGCACATTTTATTGACAATGAGTGGAATTTGCACACAAAAAATATTGTTTTTTTCTTGGTTAAAGGCCATAGGGGGGAGGACATTGGAAAATCTTTAGAGAATTGCTTGGCTGACTGGGGAATTGAGAATATTTTTACAATAGCAGTAGACAATGCTAGTGCAAACAACACTGCAATTAAGTACATGCAGAGGGTCCTGAATGAATCAAAAGGCTGTGTTGCTGAAGGAGAGTACCTTCATATGAGGTGTTTTGCACATATTATCAACCTGATAGTAGGTGACGGGCTGAAAGAATTTGATAGATCAATCGCTCGTGTTTGGGCTACTGTTAAGTATGTTAGGAGTGAACCATCTAGGTTGGTAAAGTTCAAGAAATGTGCCGAGTTAGCAAAGGTTCAGACCAAAGCATTTTTCAACCTAGACGTCTGCACTAGGTGGAACTCAACTTACCTGATGCTACAAACTGCATAAGAGTATGAAAAGGCCTTTGAAAGGTATAGTGATGAAGACCCATACTATAGTCTAGAGTTAGAGAGTGAGAAAGCACAGGAGTTCCAATCAAATCGGATTGGGAAAAGGCAAGGAAAATGGCTCAATTTCTTAAATACTTCTATGAGCTGACCCTCCATGTCTCTATCATAAGTCACCCAACATCTCACACATACTTTCATGAGATTGCTGATGTTTTGGTTCTGCTGAGACAATGGTGTCACAGTGAAGATACATTATGTAAGGAAATGGGCTAGAAAATGTTAGTGAAGTATTACAAATATTAGGGAGAGAAGTATGGAGAAAGGCCGGGGGATAGAGAGAAGAGAGGAGAGAAAGACAAGGGGGATCAATTGCTTAACATTGTTATTTTTTCTGTGTTGGTATTGATCCTCGGTTCAAACTTTCTAACTATGTCAAGATGGCAACTATGGTAATGTTTGATGACGAAATAGGTCAGAAACTGTGGGCAACAGTCAACACTTATTTTCGTGCTTTGTTTGAGGAGTACAGAGAACTGTATGCTCCATCTCCAAGTGACAAGGTGCCTGCTGAAACTCAAGAAACACCAGAATTTTGTTCTGGATTGATGAGCTCCATAATTGCACAATAGATGAGCAATAAGGGGAGTGCCAATACCACTGTGAAGTCTGAACTAGACAAGTACCTTTCATAAGATAATGAGGAGCTTAGTAAAAGTTTTGACATTATGAAATGGTGGAAGAACAATGCTACTAGATTTCCCATAATGTCTCGTATGGCCCGTGATCTTCTGGCAATTCCTATCTCAACAGTAGCCTCTGAGTCAGCCTTCAGTTCAGGTGGAAGAACACTTGATGATTTTAGGACATCACTCACACCAACAATGGTTGAGCGGCTCGTTTGTACAAATGATTGGCTTCGTGGAAACAACTACATCGGTGTTGAAGAGGACACAGAAGCATTGGTCAAGCTTGAGGAAGGTAATTTTTAATGCGAAGTCTAAGTTGTTATCATTTCTATTGTTTATCTTGATAGCTTATTGCAGTAACATGACTACACTGAGTACTAACTAAAACATAATCACTTATTGTAGAAATTGATGCCCTGGCCATTTCTAAGGATAGCACTACTGCTACTACATCTTGATAATGGTAAGTTGGTTAGCTGGACGCCTGGATAGATCCTGGTGGTGCCATGGAGCATTGTTCTCTTGCTGTTGTTGTGCCTGTTGGCCGAAACCTGTTTTTTCCAGTTGTTTATCAAAACTGATGGAGTACTGTGGTTTATTATCAAGAATGAACTGCAAATTTGTAATATTTGATTTGAGCATTGAATTGTTAAGTTTGTAACAGTCTTGAGTCTTCAAATAATATACTGTGCTATGCAAGTTTGTACTGTGTTGTGCTGTCAGTTCTAAATTATGTCTGATGTTTTCTTGCATCGGTTTATTCGGTTTTAACAAAAAAACCGAACCAAAATTGGTCGGTTTTTGGAATTTTAGCAAACCAGTCAGGGGTCATTTTCTGGAAACCGAAATTTTGGAAAACCGAAGAAACCGAACCGAATCGTCGGTTAAAACCGAACGCCCAGACTGAGCTATTGGGAGACTGGAGCACACAAAAAAAGACTCGCCTCTCTAACATGAGAGTTGGGGATAGGGGGAACAATTGGGTAACTGCTGCTCGCTCTTCCAACAACTGCCTTTTTATAATGAACTCTGCAAATCCGTTGCTACAATATAATAGTCTTATAAAAAAATAAAAAGGGAGCAGCCAAATTGCACAATATATGTAACACCCTAAAAATTGCTCTTTTCAAAAAAGATATAAATTGATTTAATTTTATATTTTGTGCTCATGAAATATAGGAAAAAGAATATTTTTCATTCTATTAAAATTTATCATAAGGAGTAGAAACATGGATGTGCATACATGCCGGTGCATTTGATGAGTGGTTTGATCCAAAATTCAAATTTATTTAAAATGTTTTTGAAAATGGATTTGAAAATAGAATTCAGAAAAAAAAAGACTTTACCTCTCTCTTACTCTCTCAATTCTGGCCGCTCGGCCTCACTCGCACCATTGGGCAGCTTCCTTTCTTTCCCCGCGGCCCGCATCTCTTTTCCTCCCCGCATGGAGCGCCTTGGGCCGGCTCAGCAAGGCCAGCAGAGCCGCAGCGTCCCCTTTTTTTTCTTCGTGGCCCAGCAAGCCCAACCGCTCCCCTTGCTTCCTCGCGCGGCCCAGCAAAACTAGCTGCAGCCCAGCCGAGCCGCTCCTCTTCCTCTGTCTCTGGCAGCCGGCCCCGCGTCTCCTATCCCGCTGATAGCCCGGGCCCGCATGTCAGGACCTCCCCCTTCCTCCGGCTCGTGTCCGAGCCAGACACTTCCCCGCTGCTGGAGTCCGTAGCCGCCCCGTTCTCTCCCCAATTGGCATGCCACGCAAGCTGCTCCTACCCTTAAATAGCTACCGACGCTGCGTCGTTCTCCCTATCTCGCCCCAACGTAGCCATCGTCTCGCCTAGAGCCACCACGAAGTCGCCGCCGCCATAGGAGATCCGCCATTGCTATGTTCGCCGTTCCGCTGCTCCTCCGCGGTCGCAACTCCCTTGTCGAGCATTTACAGGAGGTAAGAGAGCTTCGGGTACCCTTCTTGTCCTCTCCCTCGCTTTCTACCGCCGGTGCCGGGGCGCCGATGTTTCTCCGGTGAGCTCGAGCTGCCCCGTCAAGCATCGCGTCACCCCCCGAGTCATCGCCGCCACCCTAGCCCCGTCCATCATGTTCACCTCGTTCTCCTCTTGCTCCCCGTTATTTTCCCGAGCCAAACGGTGTCCGGAGCATCGACATCGATGAACTCCGGCGACGTCTGCCGTTATCCGGCCATGGCGCCTCCTCGCACAGCGCCGTTCCTACGACCTCTGTTCCTCGATTTGATCTGCACTGCCCAATCTAAGATCAACGACCTAGATTAGAAGATACCGATTCAGATGGCTTATTTGCTAAAGAGACCCTTGGTTTTTGGATAATCTAACCCGCCGTCCCTGATTTTATTCTAAAGAGCCCCTGTCCTTTCTCCTATTAGTGCCCACGGTCCACTGATAGATTTAAAAATCAGATTTTATTTATTTTAATTCGAAAATTAAGTTTCATCTATTTACAAAACTGCAACTACCTTCTAGGCCATATCTTCTTCGTTTTAACTCCAATTTGACCTGTTCAAGTTACGTTAGATTCTTAACGACGTAATCTATGTATTAGTGGCATTTTTTTAACAAGTTTAAAGCTTTTGAATAAAATATTAATTAATCTATATGTAGTTACTTTTCCAATTAAAAGCAACTTAGGTTTTTCACTCCGGTCTTTTCTAAATAAAGTAAGATTTGCTTTCTCTTGGTTTTCTAAATCAAAACTAATTTGACTTAATATGATTTAGATATTTGTATAGAATATTATATATATACTTTTATAAAATAAATAAAGACTATAGTTTTCTTTTCCATGTATAAAATAAATCTTTCAGTAGTTATATCTTTTTCGTTATAGCTCCGATTAGAGTGCTTTTCACGTATGTGTATTCGTAGCGAGACGTAGATTCGTTTTACAAACTTCTCATCCTGATTTTATGTTTGGTGTATTGTTTTAATTTAAATCTATTATTTACTTCATGTATGATTGCATGGATGCTTATGTGATGCTTTATGATCATGTCTAGTTGGTGAGCTATACGTGGTGAATCAAGAAGCAGATCTTTAAAGATTTGGATTGGAAAAAGGATCTAATTTAAGGCAAGTATAGCATGGGATCTTCCTTGTTGTCTTATACATCTTTAATCATTTAATTCATGTTGCATGTGTCTACCTTGACTACCACTAAGGATATCCTAGTCTTTTGTACTTATACCTTAATACATATGGGGTATTGCATTGGGTAGTATGATACTAGTGCTCAAACTAAAGCCATGATCTTGTAACTTGACTAATTGTATATGCAATAAACGCTTAAAGATGATTTTTAGCAACATGGAACAAAGGGGCTAGAGCATTGGGCTATTTTATGGTGCTCTAGATTCCTCTCCCTAAGGACTTATCTGTAAGCGAACATCCGGGACTTACAGTACAGCTGTGAGGGCTACATGGCTCTGGCTTTAGCTCCGTATGAGGACATTTTCTAATTTGTTAGTGGTTACCTTTATTGGCGTAAGAATGGCTTGCCGAATCGAGTATAGTGCGGCCTCGATCCCCTTGTGTATAGGCTGCGTGTCATTGTGCCATTGGGAAAGTGGGCTCTACATTTGTTTGCCGAGTGAATCTAATGGTCCTAACTTGTTAGACGAACCTTTAAAAGGCTTCATAGTGAACCCTGCCGACCTTCCTTGCAAATGGGTCAAGAGATTAGCTACTTCAGGCAAAAGGGTAAATCACGACTTACAGTGAAAGTGTACAACCTCTGTAGAGTGTAAAACTGGTATATCATCCGTGCTCATGGTCGCGAGCGGCCTTGGAACATTTACAGAATAGATGATCACTAATGGTTAATGATGATGAACACGGATGATATTGATGATGAAGATGCTTATTAATGATTACTGTTTATGCTATTCATTATTCATGTTTACCTGATCATGTGTTTATATGGGCTTATGAATAAACTTGTTGCCACCCAATTGCTAAAAGATGACTCATTAAAAGCTAATCGCAGTTAATCAGTGTCAGACTTTTGAGCCTCATGAACCCCGTGTTATATTTGTTGAGTACAACATGTACTTACGCTTGCTTTACTTTTTAAATCTTTGAAAAATCCTAGATGGGAGTTTGGAGAAATTAGGCTTATGATCAACCAGTTAGTTGTCCCCGTGGAATTAGAATTTTCATCCGAAGATCAGAGTTGTCTTTCTGTTGTTTGCTGTAAGATTATTCTTTATACTAAGTATGTTATATATTAAACATTGTCTATTGATATTATCTTTATTTATAGCTATATGTAAGATTTAACTTTCTACACTCACATATGCTGTGTATCTAGTTTTGTCCTTTAAAACCGGCTTCTACAATATAGGCACCAACCAAAAGGCTTATTATAGAGATATAACTGACAACCCAGAGGGCAAATCTTATTATAGCTGTTCTTCATCGTCATCTATCTGATTATCGCCTTCACATTGTTCGGGATGTGATGAGGAAATGAATATCCGTGGTTCTTATCCAGAAGGCCATGCCATACTTGCAGCATCTACAACCACGCGGCGTTCTTGATAGGGGTGACGACTGCCTTCACTTGCAGGTAGTTCTTCAGGCTGTCAATGCCCTTCTCCCTCCCAATGCCGCTCATCTTGTACCCACCAAAGGGAATTGCAGCATCGAAGATGTCGAAGCAGTTCACCCAGACGGTTCCGACCCTGAGCGCACGTGTCAGGGTGTTGGCCGTGTCCAAGCTATTGGTGAACACGCCAGCGGCCAATCCATACTGGCTCGCATTTGCCCTCTTGATAACCTCATTGAGATCTCTGTTCAAGCAGGACAAAAGTTATAACCCAATAGATTGTTGCTTAAGATTTCTTTGCACTTCTTGATTGTTTGGTTATTAATTAGAGTTTCAGACATTAGACAAATCAACATGAGGATAATACTCACTTGAACTTGAGGATTGACTGAACAGGCCCAAATATCTCCTCCTGAGCAATCTTCATGCCATCCTGTAACAGCCGTGTCATGAACTTTAAACATATCCTTGTTTGTTTTCGATGGAACAGTAAGCATATCTTGCAAGAGACGAGAGAAATTTTGTACTAGTACTTCGATGCAGTCAAAGCTCACCTGGACATCTGAGAAAATCGTTGGCTGGATGTAGTAACCTTTGTCACCCAACCTATCACCACCCGTCACAAGGTTAGCTCCACTGTCAACACCAGACCTAATATAGCGCAAGATCTTGTTGAATTGTTCGTCGTCAATCTATAAAGAAACAAAAATTGCAAGTCATCATCAGTCCAAACACGGAGGAAATGTAGAGTTACAATAGTGAACATCGTCACCAATCTCATAGAAGAAACTTGCAAGATTTTAGTGTATGGTTTTTGTTGATTGAAGGAATTGTTAAAACTTGCATCAGTTATATTGAAATATAATTGACAATGTAAGAGCATCTCCAAAAGCCTTTCCTAAACTCACTCTAATAATTACTTAGAGAGCCATTTAATAAAATAAAAATCACTCTATATATTTTCATTCTCTAATAGCTTCTCTATGTCTTGTGCGTACTCTATAGAGCCAGCCCCACTCTCCATCTTTGGCTAGCAAAAAATCCGGAACAGAGGATAACAATATTAGAGATCTAATTAAAAAAGCTGCCGGAGGGGCATTTTTTTTTTTACCAAAATCTCTACTCCTTTTAGTAAGAAAGAATATAAAGAAGCTCTTGGAGATGCTCTAATAGCTCATTGGGTGAAATGAGAAGCTTTTATGAGTTTATCGGTGATGCAACTACTACATGAATGATACATCAAGCTTCTAATTTTAGAGATTGTAACTACATAAATAAACCATTAAATATCCTAATCAGAAATGTACCTGCGGGCCCTGTTCAACACCTTTCCTGAATGGATCACCAACGACACGCTTCAATGCACGAGCCTTGGCCTTCTCCACAAACTCATCATAAATACGCTCATGTACAAATGTGCGAGATCCAGCACAACAGCATTGTCCCTAAAAAATTCATATGAAAAGAAAGATATTTAAGTAGAATGAAATGGAAAACACAGTTATCATGCTTATTTTAACATCATACCAACAAATACCTGGTTAAAGAACAGGGCAAAGTGCGCAAGCTCAACAGCATGGTCAACATCAGCATCGTCCATGATGATAAAAGGAGACTTGCCTCCTAACTCCAGTGTCACTGACTTAAGGTTGCTCTTTGCAGCCAACTCAAGAATAATTTTGCCAGTATCGGTAGATCCAGTAAATGCAACCTTTATTGAAGGAAAGAAATATATGTTTAGTCCTATGGTATAGTTTTTCAGGCCATTCTCTATAATGACATAGAATATAATTTAAAGATTTATTTACCTTATCAACATCCATGTGACTAGGAAGAGCAGCACCAGCAGTAGGGCCAAAACCAGAAACGACATTCACAACACCCTCAGGTAGTCCAGCCTATTTAGCATGCAAAATATGATCAGCTCTGATTGAAAGAAAAAAAATACAGGCTATATAAAAATTATATCCCTTGTATATTCTAACAACCAACTGGCCCATTGCATGCTCAAAGCAGCTAGATCTAAATATACAGTTATACATGCAACACATGTGTGATAACCATGATTAAATATAGTGGCTTTCAAAAAAAAAAAAGACCGACCTAGGAGGAACTAGGTGGCATTTTTTTTAAGAAAATAGGCATTCAAATTCACCTCAACAAGGACTTACCTGGGTGGTCTGGGCATACATAAACACCCTCGACAACTGAGCTAGCTCTGCTTCCCATATAGTGGTTTTCATATACAATTAACACAAATGTTGTATTAACCTGATTAGTCCATGGTTCTAAACTGTTACAATCAGCGCCCGCAGAAGTGTACATGCAGATTCTTTCTATTTCTCTATAAGATAAAGTTTTCCTTTAATGGATTACCTTGGGATTTTTAGCCTGCAACTAAAATGAGGCCTACTTGTTCTTTACATTTTACATAGATAGAACAAGTTATTTAAACTTGTACGTGCAGTCTGAGCTGCAACCATATCCTATATATGCATAATGCATTGGTAGTTTGGTACAAGGTCAAATTGACAAAGAACTAGGACCCAATATACTGAAATTTGAATCATTCGTCTCTTGCATGCTCAATAATTAACACCACCAGATAGTTTTTTCCCTCATTTGTTTCCCTCTTAAGAGTGGCCATGATGCAAAGCGACTCAAGGGAGAAAATTTAGTAAAAGTAACATTAAGCTTTGAGAGATCACTCCATCCATCATGTGATAGATAAAAAAGAACATGGTTGACTAATCCTAGCATCTTTTATTCCCAATAAAACACAAACGCATCACTAGAACATTTAAAAAAAGTTGTATGATGAAACAAAGCCCATTCTCTCTAAGTAAATTGAATAATTGCAATAAAAGGAAGTGATTACTAATTTACTTCACTAACAAAACTAAAGAGAACACAAAATATTAGTTGCACCAACCTCATGCAACAGTTTGGAGATATACAAAGCCGACAGAGGAGTTTGTTCAGCAGTCTTGAGCACGAGAGTATTTCCACATGCCAAAGCAGGGCCAACTTTCCAGGCAAACATCAGAAGAGGAAAGTTCCATGGGATGATCTGACCTGCAACACCAATTGGCTCATGCAAGATCTGTACATGGTGTGGGCCATCAGCCGGCACAACGAGCCCATGGATCTTATCAGCCCAACCTGCGAAAAAACAGAAGTGGAACTGAATCAGACATGGAAGTATATATGCTGTATGGAAGTATGTTGTATTGTTCCAGACAACTTTCGTCAGTTAATATTAAATAAAGGCAATCACCAGCATAGTAACGCATAAGACGGGCCACCATGGGCACTTCAATCTGGGCTGCTTGCTCATATGGCTTCCCGTTGTCCCATGTCTCCAAAGCAGCAAGCTCGTCATTGTGCTTCTCTATCAAATCAGCAAACCGCAGTAGGATACGGGACCTCTCCTGCAAAGTAAAGATTCCAACCATCTGTGAGCATGGCTGAAGGCCACAATGACACGGCAGAAACGAAAATCTCAAGCTGAGTGTTTACATAGGCAGTCATCTTCGGCCATGGCCCTTCATCAAAAGCCTTGCGGGCCGCAGCTACAGCACGGTTAATGTCCTCTGCGTCACCCTCAGCCACATGAGCAATCACCTCCCCTGTACGAGGGTCCAGAGTGGGGAAGGTCTTGCCTGATGAGATGAAAATACACATCACAGATGGTGAGTTTGACTTATCATCAAGAACAGGAAAAACTAGAATAAACCTTTGCCATGTTGCAGGCCCACATTAGACAATATTTTGGCAAATATATGGTTGATAACAGAACTGTTTGAATTCTTAGAAGTGTAGTGCTTTGTGGTGAAGCATAGTTTCTAAAGGGGGATGATTTAGAAGGGTGTGGGTTTGTACTCAAATAAATTCTAAACAAACATGCATATTTTGTTGTTGGATAGCATATCAGCTCGGAAAATTTCAGATGACATGGCATTTTCATTACTATTCTTTTACCCCTCACACTATAAGCTTAAGCAACAAAAACCGATCTACATTTTTCCATTTTATGGGCCTACAGGTATCATGGGGAAGCCCAGCAAAGTGGCTATTGGATCAGCCTTGTTAATACTAGTTTTTGTTGAAAGATAAACTCTAAGGATGCTTGATTACGAATAAGCTGCTCAGATAGGAATGAAATGGAGTTACATACCGGATGCAGAATCAACAAAGTTGCCATTAATGAGGAGCTTTGTGTAGTTCACTTGGACTGAGGGCGTGATGGGCTCCTCTACTGCTGCTGCAGTGCTGAACCTCTGAAGGATGCCTGGCAACAGTCCGCGCATCCCATCTGCAGGCACTGTGGTAATATGATATTTGCTCATAAATTTCAAGACTCAGAGAAACATAGTAGCAAATTTCTATCTAAGAAACAAATACATTAAATGAGGCCTGGATTTACAGATGGCTAAAGGAGACATTCTGACCATATTTGGTGCCCCAAAGCGTGAATATCCCTAAACATAAGTACATGACATAGCAACATGAAGGCACATTGTATGCGCTATCCTTTTTGTTTCTATACATATAGGACTATTTCACACACGTGGTGAACTTGTTCTTGGAATTCAGTATAACAAAATATGCGCATGCTAAGCAACAGTGAACTGAAAATACCACACTATTTTGAGATTTTGTAGCAGAACAAATGGAGGTTGGCTGCTCATGAAGACATGAACATATCATTTTGTGGCAATGGGCTAATGGCAATGCTGCAAAAAAAGCAACAGATGGAAGATGCTTTGTTCTGGTTACATTAGAACTGGCTACCTTTGACATTTTACTAAGTTGATCGTGAATATCTTGACGTAAACAGATCATGGTTGTCTTTTACAATATGTAGAATTTCGGAAGTGACTATGTTTGCCTCACCACCAATAATCCAATATCAACAGCCTATTCGCTTGCTCGTAAACGATCGTAAATTTCCAGCCGGGAACCGTGTTTTTCTCTCACACCAAACCAGCCTGCAGTAAATAATCCACGATACGATACGGCCTCCCGAACAGGCTGAAAAGTAGTCGGGTAGCAAACAAAATTGCAGACAACCAAAAGCTCTGGTTTCCACCGTACCGATAAGGACCGGAGGAAAAATCCGCGTCTTATCCTGTCCCAGGAATCTTATCTCTGGAGCGAAAAAGTCCAGTACTCGTATTCAAGCCATGACTCACTGATGACGCACAAGGCCAAGAAGCCACACATCCCGAGTCGTAAGGGTGAGGGCAAAGCCGGAAATGGCCATAAAGCCTGAGTAGACAAGGCACACTAGATGGGTGGGTGAAAGCGACGTTGGATGGAAGATTTAGGGAGGACGATATATCTCCAAGAGATGAGGACTAGTGCTGTACACACAGGTAGAGGTAGATATTATTATAGAGCGAGAGAAATGAAGATGAGGTAGATCATTTATTAGAAGAACTAATTCTAGAGAGATTACATGTCAAAATCATGGTTTTTATGGTATTAAAAGGGAAGGAAATCTACAAGATTCAATTTTCACGTCAGCAGTCAGCTAATGGAACTGTGCTGCAGCCGAAATTCTCACAGTTGACTGTACAAGAAGCAAAGTAGCTTAAGCGAACGGGCCTTTTAGTAAGGCTGACAACAATCTAAAGGGATTCTGATGAAGCTGGCTTTTTTTTTTTACACACGGGCATCACAAGGTAAACACCCAGGAATTCAGATCGTCATGTCTGCTCTGCTGATCAGATCCAAAGCGCAACACACGACACATTATCCCGATCCCCTTGTGAAGCGATCGAAGACACCCGGGGAAAAACAGAGGTGGGGGATGCGGTGATATCTACACCAACAAAGATAAGATCAAGAACCCATAATAATAATAATAAATATTACGAACACGACACACGGAAACAGCGAACGCCGCGAGATTAAAATCCATACATACATACTGGTTTCGCAACCAAAAAAAAAAACCATACTGTACTAGTGCTACGAGCTTGTCCGATTCCTAACAGGATAGGGCCGGGGCAGCCGCGCAGGGATGCATGTCCAAGAGGCGCGGAGCAATCAATCCAAATTCGAAAGTCGAAACGATACCTGGCCTGCGCAGCGCAGAGGGGACAGCGGGTGGCGCGGCGGCAGGGGCAGAGGCCCTGGCCAAGAGGCAGCGGGAGACGAGCGAGGACGCGGCCCTCCGAGCCATGGGGCGAATTTATTGCGGCCGCCGAACCGAATCGAAGAACCCTCTGCCGCTGCTGGTTCCGCCGCCGCGGCGCAGTAAATGGAAGCGGATATCCTCCTGTACTTGCAGGCGTCCGTCCCCGCGGCAGCAGAAGCGGCAGGCAGTGGAGGTTGTCGGTGTGGGAGCGAGGACGAGTAATGGCTGCCGCTGCCGAGTGCCTCCCCCTTCTCTCTCTTCCTCTTGGTCTTGGATTTGGGCTTGGTCTGGCGTCTGGGTTTAATAGGGCCGCGATTTTAGAACCCAACAGAGTGGGAAAACGAGGGCATTTTTGGCATTGTTCAAAGAACGCTCTTGTTCAAATGGATACTATCATGGAGCTGGGTGGGTGGCGCTGTAGATGGGATGGACGTGGGGCCCATATGGGTAGGAAGGGTGGTGGGGTGCGTGCAGGTCAGCAGGTGCAGAGCATGGATGGGTGAGGGCATGTTTTAGTTGGCAAAAATTTTTGGTTTTGGGTACTGTAGCACTTTCGTTTGTATTTGGCAATTAGTGTCTAATTATGGACTAATTATGTTTGAAAGTTTCGTCTCACGATTTCTCACCCAATTGTGTAATTAGTTTTTTTTTCCGTCTACATTTAGTACTCCATGTATGTGCCGCAAGATTCAATGTGATAGATACTACGCAAAAAATTTTAGATTTTGGATGGAACTAAACAGGCCCTGAGTCGGGGGTGTTGAGGCGGATCTTGTCCATGTGATTCTCAAGTTTAGTCGCTGCACGTGCAGTCCAGGTGGACCTTTTCAACTGAAGGAAAAACTAAAGGATGCCTTTTTGGCCATTGAAATAATCGAACTAACCTAGGGAAGCAACTGAAACTAGGACATTGATACTGCTAGTGTTCGATGTATTATGGGTTTGGCCCGTATAATATTTAATAAATCAAATAAAACTATATGGTACGTAACATTAAGCGTTGTATGGTTTAATACCGTATGAGATTTTGACTGCACGTTTACTCAGCTTATTTGGTTAGAAATTATCCATCTTAATTGAGAAGCTGAGAAAAGGACAAAGGAGTGCCACACGCGCGCGCCGCCGCCGCCGGCCGGGCCGCGGGCGCGGGCCGTGGCAAGGCAGGCGGGCGGGCGTGGCCAGGTTTTGCCACTTAATCCACATAATTATGGGAGTTTCTCTTCTTGATGGTGGAGGCGAGTTGATTGCGCCAGTTACCATGTCTCCGACTCCTGAATTCCTCCGCTGGCTCTCTCCCTTCCGGCCGCAGGCATAAAACAAAAAGTCCTCCGTCAGTCTTCTTCTTCTCCCATTTCGCTTCCGAGAGACCACATCTCAGCCGCCCTCTCCCTCCTCCTGTTCCGGCGCGGCGACGTCCCTGACGCGAGTACGAGCTCTGATCCACGCGGCCACCCCCCGGCCACCCCCTTCCTCTTCTCCAGCCAACCACCCTCGGCCTCAACTCCGGTGCGGGGATGGGCACGACCCCAGTTGCGGCCCCGGCACGGGTGCGCGACACTGCTCCGGCATCGGGAGCCCCTAATGCCTGCAGATCCGGCGGCCATGGCGCTTCCCGCGTTAGGCTCTCTCTCTTCCCCCCTATGTTGCAATTATATGTTTCAATTGTTTCAGACGTTTTAGAGGTATGTTGTAGTTGAATCATATGGATGTTGCAAAGGTAGATCGAGGATGTTGCATATGTTGCAATTGTTTTCAGAGACATGTTGTAATAGTATGTTTCGAGTGTTTTAGATGTTTTAGAGGTATATTTCATTTGTGTTTTCCAGACGCATATTGCAATTGTGTTTATCTGGATGTTGCATATGTTTCACACATATGTTGCATGTGCTTTATTCGGATGTTGCGTATTTGTTGCAATCGTTTTCAAGTGTGTTTCATGTGTGTTTTTTAAGTGTTTCATAAGCATGTTTCAAGTGTTTCAACTACCTTTAGACGTATGTTGCAATCGTTATATTTGGATGTTTTAAAAGTAGACCTGGTGTTGCATCTCTCCTCCCCCCACTACACCTTCTGCAAAGCCTGCAAGGCATCCATACGAACGTGGGATGGGCGATGGGCGTGGGACGAGGGAGCTACGTGTGTCGGGCGCAAGTGAGGGAGCTCCGTACGGACGGACGCTGCCTTTGGAGCGGGATGGGCGTTGGGCGGAGGGGGCAGCGTACGCCATGGTTTGGGAGCAGGCACGCAGGCACCTGGTGATGTGGGTATGGCGGGCGGGCGCTCTCCTGTTGCGCTGGTGCAGCCTACATGAGGGGCGCAGAGGTCGCGTCAAACAGGAGCCACGTCCGGACGCAGGCCTAGGGTCGGACGTCTGGCGCTAGGCTTGTCGTTAATTAAATGGTTTAAAGCTTGACCAAAATATATAAAATTACTAGTAATATTTATGATACAAAATAAGTATCATTACTAATATTTATGATAAAAAAAGTATCATTAACTTCATTATAAAATATACTCCCCCTTAGAGCATCTCTCAGAGTTCCTAAGAATTTCTTCCCAAAACCGTAGAGTTTTTCAACTCGTCAAAAAGTATTAGAAGAAATAAATAAGACCATTCCCCACAATTTTCAATAATTTTCTCCTAAAATATAAAAGACAATTTTACATCAAGAATCGTATACTATTTCAAAGTTATTCTAATCACTTTTATATATTCTTTCTCTCTTATACATTTGCATCAGGAACCTTTTTCTACTCTTTATTCTTTCCAACGCCCTTCCATCTTAGATTGTGAGACCGATACGCGTGTGGAAGACGCGCTGATATATGCGCATGTTAGGTGATTTTTTTCTAAGTGCCAAAAGATTGGGAGGTGAGATTAGAAACTCTCAGAGATGGGGGTTTTTCTTTTCTTGACAAAAATCATAGATTGGGGGCATTATTGGAAACTCTTGGAAACGCTCTTATAAATTATAATACGTTTTGGTTTCCTAAATATACTATTGTTTCTATGTATTGAGATATATACTAGAATCATGCTGATGCATTGTAATGGAAAAAAATAATACCACAATAGCTCTCTTGTATACCACCTCCATACATGATGGTCAACTGCGCTTACGCCAGTGCCCTTTGGGCTTCGTATCGAACACAGACACATGGATCCGGTCTTCGTATCAGAACCAAGTAGGGCACAAACATGTTAGCTCCGAGTAGATGATGATTTCTTTTGGACGCGGATATATGAGCAGAGATCGAGACTTGGTATCATTGGATAGACGATGACATTCTAGTCTTTTTAGGTGTAGAGATTATATCTAAATACATCGTAAAAATAATGTACCTACAAAAGCCAGAACATCATATAATTTGAAACGGAGAGAGTTTTCATAGTAAACCTAGTTGAAGACATAGATATTAATACTATTTACTATAAACATTTATGTACGCATTATCCTAAATTTATTTTATACTTTAATAGTGCTATTCTTTCGGTGGTAGGCAACGCGTTCGTTGACAGCGAGACGCCTGTGATGATTTCATCAATCTCAAGATTTGTCGAACCTTTAAAGGTGCTTATAGAGGTAGGTGTGCATACATTATAGGGATGAGTGTGAGTTTATGTATATATCAGCGCATGCGTCTATATTTGGGTCTCACAAAAATAAACAATATACCTCTACAACAATGTATCTTTATGCTAAATATAAGGGATTACGAGTTTATTCTAAATTTATCTAAATTAATAGAAAAATATCAACACGTGTCACATCGGTTAAATCCAAAACTCACTCGGTCCCAAAAAGAATGACATGATGAAATGTGTGTTATCAAACTTTCTTAAGTTTGACTAGTATGTTATAAAAATATTAGCAACATTTATATATCTAAATAAGTTTATTATGAAAATATATTCATCGGTCTATCTAATGATACTAATTATGAACCTTAAATATTAATATTTTTATATATATTTGGTCAAAGCTGTAAACGTTTGAATTCTCGATAAGTGAGAATGACACTTCCCTATGGGACGGAGGGAGTAGGCAAACGAGAGATTAAGATGAGAGCGAAAACGCTCCAAGTGAGAGAGACAGAAAGACGAGAACATTATATTTCTATTAGTGGAGTATCAAATACATTATAGCTTATTAAATTTTAGCTAACGAACTTTTAGTTATTAGAGCTAACATCTACCTTATCCAAACAGGCTCGTACTTAATTTTATTTTCATCCCTATTACAGAGTGAGAGAGATGAACCACTTTAAAACAGATTTGCATGGGGCATGCATGTGCACAGATTATATACATCAAACAGATCAGGAAAAGCATGCATAGGGTGTTCCAGATCCAAGTTGCCATGAAGTTGGCTCAGAATCCCATGCATGATTAGGTCCTGTTTAGATAATAGATATGCTAAAGCTTAGGAGTTAACTCATAATGTTTATACTAATTAACTCTTAATAGTTTCTAGCAATCTTCTAATGTTTGAAACGTACGTTTTTCTTAACTCTTAATAGTTTCTAGCAACCTTCGTCTTGCTAATTTTTGCTAGTAGTTATCATACCTGTACAGCTTTATATACTTGTCTATTTGATCCAACATTGCTTTTCATTTTTGCTACTCCAAGTTATTAGTATCCATCTGTTCAGACGTTTTGGCTTTTTTTGACACATTACTTTTACTTTGCATCTAGATACCGTGTACATTTAAGTGCATAGTAAATTAAAAGTTATGGATTAAAAAAGCCAAAACGTCTTTTTAGTTTAAAACGAAGGAAGTATATTGGATCCAAACAGGGGTTAGTCCATCGAATGGAGATTCACACCTTCAAATCAGAAGCCCCCCTGAGAGGTGGGAGCCATGTGCAACCTCAACGACTGGAGAATTTCAAATCAGACGCCCGGCTGGGCGCCATGTGCAGCCTCTCCCGGTTCCTCTATTCCATAGAGCAGGCCTTCGATGGGTTTAAAGAAGACAATGCAAACAGCATGGACATTAACAAACAGGGTGCAGACACTACTGCACATAATCACATACATGA